TCGATCTCCAGTAGGGGGTGTGCAGGAGGCAGACAACTCATGATGTTTCTCTCTAATCGCTGTTTTTCTCTCTCTATCCTTCTCCCTTCCTCTCTCTTTAAAAATCAATAAAAATATATTTTTTAAAAAGAATAAAAGAGGAATCTGCACAGCAGGCCTGAGTTGCAATGCCCAGGCAGGGACAGCTTCTCCCCTCCCCCCACCCTCTTGCTCTTGGCAGCCACAGTCATCGCCAGGGCTGAGACCAGCTAGGTCCCCAAAGCCCCGCCCCCGGGGAGCGAGGGGCAGTGCGGAGTCACTGTCCTCTCTCTCCAGCAGGGGGCTCTTAACCTGGGGCAGTTCTCAGGGAGCCTGCAAGACTTGGATGGGGAAACCAGTACATTTTATTTCCACTAACGTCAAACTGAATTCCCATCTCCTCCATTGTTAACACAGGCGACGCCCCACGGAGGTATGAGGGTACTGAGCTGTCGCGGACAGAAATCACACGCTGCCCCACCAGGGGGCCATATCGTTTACGGCCCGCGTTACTTCTAGGTGACTCAGGCGGCACCTGCGCCTGCACCTTCTGTTCCGGCACAAACGTTTCAGACTGACTTAGATAACATTCTGATAAGCACATTTCAACAGGACGGGTGTCCTTTCTAATCCCGCATGTTTTGGTTTACACACTTAAAAACATTGCTTTGGGGTGGGGGCCACAGCTCCCAGACAGCCGAGGGGTCTGCGCACAAAGCCAGTTACGGACCCGGATGGGAGGTAAATGTCCACCTGGACACTTTCCGGGTAACTGATTCCACCATTTCCATGTTCCCCACCTGGGACTGAGCAAGGGGCTGCCCTCACCCACCGCTTGGCCCTCTCACACCTGTTTCAACTTAAGGGACTAAATCCCTCGCTCCCCTCAAAAGCTAACAGAATAGAGCCCGCCCCCCTCCCACCCCCAGCGAATTGGCATCTTTAGAGCCATGTTTTTCTCCTCTGCGTGTTGCCCTGGCGATCGCAGGGCTCGCTGCCCCGGGGAGGGTGCCAGGCTCCGATTTCTAAATGTGTTTGGACCCCCTCCAGGAAAAGCCGGTAAAAACAACACCTCGTAAACATTTATTCAGAAAACCTGGCCAGGTTAGAGGGGTTTTGTGGAAAGCAAGAGAGAAGGTGGCGTTTCAGCGAGGTCGCGCGGGAGAGGGACGGCTCTCCTCGCTGAGGTCAAGGCCGTTTCCGAAGGCCCCGAGACCAGCGATTTCTGAGGAGCTGTGTTACAGTGCAGAGGCCCAGGCCGGCGGCAGGCTCAGGACGCCCAGCTGGGCCCTGCGGATCTGCATTTAAGAAGCCCCACTCTGTCCGGCCAGCGTGGCTCAGTGGTTGAGCGTTGACCCATGACCCAGGAGGTCACAGTTCGATTCCAGGTAGGGCACATGACTGGGTTGTGGGCTCGATCCCCAGTGTGGGGCATGCAGGAGGCAGCCAATCAATGATTCTCTCTCATCACTGATGTTTCTATCTCTCTCTCCCTCTCCCTTCCTAAAAATCAATTTTTAAAAAATATATTAAGGGAAAAAAAAGCCCCACCTACCCCCCTATGGACAGGTACTAGCTTTATCAGGGGGTCACTTCGTAAGCTATATAAATGTCTCATCACTACGCTGCACACCTGATATTTTTAAAGGAAGCCCCGACCAGTAGTCCAAGTGCCTGCCCGCCCACCGCTGCTGTGAGAGGAGCACCCCGGGGAGGATGGGGTCGGGGAGGGAGACTCACCAGCCCGCTGCTCAGGACGTAGAAGTCATCACAGGAGAAGATGGTGCCGGGGTAGGACGAGAAGACCAGCTTGTTGCCAGGAGCCAGGGGAGAATCCTCTGTGGGGGACAGGGCCGGAGTGGGGGTGCTGGTCAGACAAGCCCACGTGGGGGGCCCCACCCCCACCCATCCAGACTTGGGAGTGTCCCGGTGGGGAGCAGCAGGCCCCAGGGGAAGCCTTTTCTTTTTAAATTTAAATTCTTTATTGTTCAAAGTATTACATACGTCTCCCTTTTCCCCCATTGACCTCTCCCTGGCCGCCCCCACCCTCCCACACACACACCTTTCTTTCTGCTATTTAGCAAGTCAGGTGTGTGTGTGTATGTGTGTGTGGGTGTGTGTGAATGCTAGTAACAAAATACATATATATATTGACTGCTTACTAGTACCGTTTTTAGCTTTCTTTTTTTTTTAATGTTTTTATTGATTTTAGAGAGAGAGAAGGGAGAGGGAGAGAGAGAACCATCAACTGGCTGCCTCCTGCAGGCCCCTACTGGGGATCGAGCCTGCAACCCGGGCATGTGCTCTGACCCGGAATCGAACCGGTAACTTCTTGGTTCATGGGTCAATGCTCAACCACCTGCGCCACACTGACTGGGCTGGCTTCCCTTTTGTTTTATTTTTATTACCAAGACCTACTGCAAAAAATGTAATCCAGAGGGCAATACCCAGGAATCTGAGAGCATGGGCTTTGTTTGGGGGGATTCTTTTCCCTGGCTTTATTGAGATATAATTAACAAATACAAATGGTCAATATTTAAGGTACACAATGGGATGAGTTAAATCGCTGTGAAATGATGATCATAATCCAGCTAATTGGCACGTCCACCACCTCACACAGTCCCCCGTTAGTGTGTGTGGTGAGAACGCCTAAGTTCTACTCTCTTAGCAGAGTCCATGTATACAACAGCATTGCTAACGGGAGTCACCACCCTACGTTAGGGCCCCAGAGCGTCCTCATCTTCTAACCGGAAGCTTGTACTCCCTCTTCCCCGACCCCTAGCCTCTGGCAACCACCAATCTACTCTCTGCTTCTATAACTTCGACTTTTTTATATTCTCTATATAAGGGGTATCATGCAGTATTTGTCTTTTTGTGTCTGGCTTATTTCACTTAGCATAATGCCCTCAAGGTCCATCCATGTTGTTGTGAATAACAGGCTTGCTTTCTTTTTTACGGCTGAATAATATTCCAGTGTGTTTTGTGTGTGTGTGTGTGTGTGTGTGTGTGTTTGTGTGTGTGTACACCATATTTTCTTTATCCGTTCACCCATCGATGGCCACATGGGCACTTAGGTTGTTTCCATATCTCAGTGGCTACCTCTAGGGTTGACCTGGGGCTAGGGGTAGGGGAGGCCCTCTGGGGTACTGGGCCTTAGCTGCAAAGTTCTCACTTTTGACAGCAAGGTCGCATTCGTGTATTCCTCCTGTGGTTTGCAGAAATGCTGTAATTCTTTCCATGCTTGCATCCACGCCATTGCAATGGGCTCTGCAGCTCCTCACATCGAATGGTGGGGGCTAGTCCCCCACCTCCGGAATCTGAGCTGGTCACCTGACTTGCTTCGAGCATCCGAATGCTCTGCCAGTTGTTTAACCAGCTCTCACGAGGCCTGCCCACATGTCAGGTGAACAAGCCTGAGCTGGCCATGAAGTCCAGCTGCCCCATCACGCCAGCTGACAGCCAACCACACGCCCAGGAATGAGGCCATGCTAGGTCAGCCAGCTGGCCCCGGCTGATCCTGAAGCATCAGTGAGCCAGCCAAGATCAGCCAGGTCTGCCCCAGGACAACAAAACCACCCAGCTGACCCATAGACATGTGACCCCCTCAAAATGGCGGTTTTAAGCTTTTGTTGTTTTAAATGCGGAGGCGATTTGTTATGCAGCACTAGCTAATGAACACAGCTTGTGAAATAAACATTTCCTAAGAGGAAATTAACATGCTAAACCTACGATGAGCTCTTCGAAAGGCCCTTCAGTGACCACAGTGTGCCTAAGGCCAAGGCCCACATCTCCTAGCACCCTTCCCCCACCCCTGCCCGTGTGCCCACACACAGATACACCCACAGCCACCCACCTTGGGGGCCTTCTTGGAACTGGAACCAGTACTTCTTGATGATGCGCAGCATGTTCTGGTAGGAGTTCCAGGTGTTGTGGGCGACCAGGAGGTCACTGTGGCCGGGCAGCAGCTTGATGAGGGCGGAGCAGGAGCCAGAGCCCAAAGTGTGCTTGGTCTTGGTCTTATTCAGGGCCAGCTCTAGGTCCTCCAGGTCCCCAGAGATCTGCAACAGGCTGAGGAGGCCGGGCGCCACCGGGTTATGTGCCTGCTCTGAGTCTGTCACAGACCCACGTCACAGAGGAGGAAACAGCCTCTGGGGGGTTGGGGGCAGGTGATCGGTCCGAGACCACGGAGCCAGGAAGTGGCACAGCCAGTACAGGGCCCAGGCTGTCTGACTATGAGGTGTGTGCCCTCTCCCCTGCCCTGTCCACTCTGGGGTGGCACTTACAGGAAGCCCAAGGGTTTGATGGTGAACTTGCCAGTTGGGAAGGCCACGCTGCCTTCATAGCTGTCCTCTAGGCCCTTCAGCTGCAGGAGGGTCAGCCGCACCTGAGGAGGGGGCAGAGGGGGTGAGGCCTCCTCCAGGCTCACACCTTCTCCTGCCTGGGGTCCAGACAGAGCAGGAGAGGCCTAGGTGCACCCGCCAGGTTCCAGCCAGCCCTGACCCACCAGCTACCTCTCCATGCCAAGCACCCTCCTGCCTTCAATTAATTAACTATGTCCCTGCCCTGTGCCAACTTCCAAATCACACCCACTTAAGAGCCCAGCTTAAAGCCACCTCCTCCAGGAAGCCTCCCAGGCTGTTCTGAGTTTAGCTACTGGCTGTGCTGCTGCCTCAGGACACCTGTCTCATGTGGCTGACTTCTCCCCCCATCGTCACTGTCATTGTTCTGTAACCATGGAGTATCATCACTGTGTCCCCGCAGGGCCTTGAACTGTGCTGGGCACATGCCAGGTACTTCGTAAGCATCTGCCAGATGGATGGTGTGTCGGTGGGTAGACAGATGAATGGATAGATGGGTGGATAGATGGGTGGATGGGTGAATGGGAGGGAGGAAGAGCCTGTTCTAGTGAGGGTAGGAGCAGGTGGGCGGGTGGACAGTGAGAAATCCTGAGGGACAGGTGCACACCTGGCCCAGGTGAGGTGGAGGTGCTCACAGACACTGGCAGGCGCTTCCAGAGACCGCCGTGGTGTGCGCTTCACAGTTAAACTTGAGGGGTGCCAGGGGGTCCATACATGAATGACTTCGTTAATGACCTGGCCAGCGGCCCCCAGGCACAGTGCCCTGCCTGGGTCTCTGGGCTAATCAGCAGCTCACCTGGCTCAGGAAACAAGAGTCCCTGCACCCCAACTTCCTGGGTTTTCTAGTTTCCCCTTCCCCTTCCTCTTCTATGAAGACTTTTCTAATGCAGTCAACCCAGCCGCCTCCCTTGCATGCAAGTAAAACAGCGCGCTGACAGTGCACTACAGGGACTCTGACGGCAGGAGGGCAGAATGGGCTGGAGGGACAGGGAGGCCAGGAGGGACAGCTGGAGCTCCATCACGTGGATGGATGGATGGATGGAAGGATGGATGGAAGGATGGAAGGAAGGACGGGTGGAGACTGGACAGATGGGTGAATGGCAGGTCTATTTGGAGGGAGGGAGACAACGATGGCCACATCCAAGGGCTGGCCAGGAAGGGCGGGACCCAGGTCCCCACAGCAGACCCAACCCGCGCCCCATCCCACTGAGCACGCGGCCCCGCCCACCTGGTGCCAGTAGGCGGAGTCCTTGTTCAGCTCCACCTGCCTCTGCATCCACTCCAGGTTGGCTTCCAGGAAGCCCTTGAGCCTCTCGCAGTAACCAACCTCGTACTCGAAGGGGCCGCAGTAGTTCACCACCGTGTTCATCCAGTGCATATAGATGAGCTGGGGGGGGAGAGGCGGGCGAGGTGGGCAAGGGCAGGGCAGCAGGCTGCGCTCTCCCCTGCGGACCCCACCGGCTCCCCACTTGGGTTAAGAGTCCTCACCCAGAGCCCCGGGCGCCGGGATGGCAGCGCCTCTGCTCACACTGGCTCCTCTCCCTGACGGCCCTTCTCACCCGGCCAGCGCTTACCCCAAGCAGGGCCCGACGCCGGACAGCTCCCTCCGCTGAAACCCGTTAGCCTTCGAAGTCTGTCCTAGATTACACCCCCTCTGTTACCAGGACCCCCACTCTATATATGTGTTTGGCACGGGTGCCGGGGGTTGCCCACCCCTGGGCTGGGGTGTGGGGGGAAAAAGGAAGGTGACTGCTGATGCATATGGGGTTTCTTTCTGGGGTGATAAGAATGTTCTGGAATTAGATAGTGGTGATGGCTGCACAACCTTATTAAGATACTAAAAAAACCCACTGAATCAGACATTTAAAAATAGAGAGTTTTACGGCCTATGAACTGTATCTCAATATAAATGACTGATGACTGAATGAATGGGAATGGCAGGCACCACGTTTAGGGTGGGGCACCTCAAGGGGAAGGGAAAACAGGGGGAATGGGTTGGGAGGGGGGCTGCAATAATGTCAGGAACATTGTAGGTTTTAGTTTGGGTGCTCACGTGATCACTATGCTTTATAACTTGGAACACGTTATGTGTTTTTTATATGCATTCAGTGGAACCTCGTGGAAACGTTTAAGGAATGCACGTGAGCCTTTCTCCCCAGCCAGACGGAGGGCTGGGGCGGGAAGCCACTCTGCACAGACCTCGGCGCCGTCCGAAGCTCCCTGGGGACACGTTGGTGGGGAGTGGGGGAGGCAGGAGCCCCGGTGTCCCCACCTGGCCTTACCTCCTCGGTCACGGCGGCCTCCACCACGCCCGCCGCGTAGGCCTGCAGGCTGTCATTGTAGTGGCCATTGGTGTGCAGCTCCAGAAAGGCCCACCTGAGAGGGAGGGAGGGGAGGGGACACGTGGTCAGCACAGGGACAGGTGCAGAGCGGCCCTCCGCTCGGCACAGAGTGTCCCCAGTGTTAAACCATCCCAACACCAGCAACGAACTGCCTTCAATGAGCATCTGTCTGTCTGTCCCCGTGCACTTGTCAGGCTAAACCCCTGAAAGAGAAAAGACTGGGTCGCAGGGAACATGTATTTTTAATTTGAATGAATACTGACAAGCTGCCTCCCCCAAGAACTGAAATAACCTTCATTCCGGCCCCCACACTAATTTCAGGTCTTCCTCTGTACCAGGCACTGTTCTAGTCACTCGCATGTCTATTAACTCTTTTTTTAAATATGTTTTTTAGCCAGAACCGGTTTGGCTCAGTGGATAGAGCATCGGCCTGCGGACTCAAGGGTCCCGGGTTCAATTCCGGTCAAGGGCATGTACCTTGGTTGTGGGCACATACCCCAGTGGGGGGCGTGCAGGAGGCGGCTGATCGGTGTTTCTCTCTCATCGATGTTTCTAACTTTCTATCCCTCTCTTTTCATCTCTGTAGAAAATCAATAAAACATATTAAAAAAAAATCTATAATAAATAAATAAATAAATAAATATGTTTTTTATTGCTTTTAGAGAGAGAGAGGAAGAGAAAACATTGATGTGAGAGAGAAACATGGATCGGCCGCCTCCTGCGTGCTCCCCACTGGGATTGAGCCTGCAACCCGGGCATGTACCCTGACCCGGAATGGAACCGGCGACTCCGTGCACCCGGTCGACACTCAACCAACTGAGCCACACCGCCCAGGGCTATTTTCTTAATTTTACTGGTCATTTATAATTCTTTGGGTCCTGTCCTTCACTCATTTTTCTCCGTTGTGTTTTTAAAAATCTTTTCTTATGGCTGGGTGAAATTCCCTGCATATGTATTAGCCCTTGGCTTGTCACTAACATTGGAAATATGTTTGTGTTTTCATCGATCTTTGCTTTTGCACATAGAGGTTTCCTTTTCGTGCAGCCAAATCTATCAGCCTTCTCCTGGGTGGGTCTCGTTTTTATCCTTACTCCAAAGACCCAAAACCAGTCCCCCAGGTGACTCCTGGAACTAGGAGGAAAACATCTAAGGCAATTTCTATTAAGGCAAGGAGGGCAGCAGGAAGACCCTTATGTGACCTTGAAGAGGCCCCAGGAGGAGGCGGAGCCAGGCTCCCCAGGACTGCCTCATGGGAAGGCAGCTGAAATGCCACCAGGAGCTCTAGGACAGGAATAGCTCTGCCTGGAGGAGAGCCTGGAGAGGAAAGACTAGCAAACCACGCCCCCCCCCCCCCAGGCGTCCAGCAGGCCAGCCTGAGTGCCTACTGGGCACCAGACACACAGGGTGGACAAGGATGGATGACACCCTGCCCGGCCTTCGGTGAGCTAATGGGGGTAGTGTACACAGATAATGGCATAACAGGGTGTGGACGCAAAGGGGCCACGTGCTAAGGGGAGGCCCGCATGGCAACCCTGCCAACTCAGAGACCTAAAGCAACCGCGAAGATGGCCTGAAATGAAAACTTTCCAACTAAAAGCAGTTTGTGGTGGGTACTCATGTCCTTGGCAGGGCTTTTCCCTGACAAAGGTCAACCTTCCCCAAGTCTGTCTCTTTTTGCGACTAAGATAACCTACCTAATAACATGCCTTTGGAATATCAAAGTAATTCCCCCCCCACCCTAAAACACAGGCCCCCTCATTCTTGTCATCAGGCTAATTGTTAACTGTTAACTACCCTTTACCTGCCTGTGTCAGAGAAGTATGTGCCTATGCCTTTTACCTTTTATCCAATCCCACGTTTCCCCGCTTGGCTTTCTCCCGCCTCCCGAATCTACCACCAATGGATTTCATGGGACCCGCTGAGGTCTTCCCCTTTGACGCTGGTGTATAAAATAAACGGTAGGACTGCCATCTTCCAGAGCATTTGCTCAATCCCTTGAGATTCTGCTTCCTGGCAATTGTCGTCAGTTTGGCTCAAATAAACTGACAAAAATTCTTACAGGTTTGGACGTTTCCTACGTTGACAGGGCTCAGAGCGGTTATCCACAGAAAGGAA